GCAGTTCGCTACTGCTAATTAATGACTGAATCTTGCAGTGGAGGTGGCTGTGGTGCAACAGCACACACTTGATGTCAAGATGCTGAACCAGTCATTCCCGACCTGTTTTATGTTGCCCTTTCCTTACACTAGCCTGGTGTATAAACCTTCCTTTCAAGTCCAGTTGGAGTACACAGTGCCCTGAATGCCTGTGGCCAAATCCAATTTTTTCCTATTTTTTCCTTCTTGTCTTTTCCAAGTGTTCTTGTCTTTCCCAGGCATTTTATCCCACTTTTATTTTTCTTTCATTTCTTATCTACTTTTATTAATCCCCCCTTCCAAGGAAAGCCAGATGAGGTGTCTGCCATTGGGCTGCGTGAGCTGCATTGCCATAGCAGGTTTGAGAGCCAGGGGAGCAGAGGAGAGGTTGCAGTCATGGGCAACGGAGCTGCTTCCACAGGAAGTGGCTCACACAGCTTTGTGAGGGGTCTTGTCTGAGAAAGGAGAGAAAATATGGGAGAAATAAGTGCAGCAAGTGGGTACTACCTGGAAATGAAAAGTAAAATAAATTACTGGGGACATTTAAACAAGTGTCCACAACCTTATGTGAAAAAAACGCTGCAGCTATGGTGGTCTTTAAGGTGCAAAATATATTGCCAGAATGGTATTCTGACTGGAGTACTGTAAACGACGCATGATCTGAAAATTAACTCCCTCCATTCTTGATTTTTTTCTTTAAACTGGGTGTTTAGACCTACAACTCCTATTCAAAGTAAACTTGCAAGTGCAGGGTATAGAAATATTGTGGAAACAGGGTATAACGACTTTCAAAAAAAAACCTTTCCTGCAACTTTAATTTTAACACAACTAACATTTGACTGAACAACTAGCCATCCCAGATTAGGTTGAGTCTGTCGAGCCTTTTTACAAGCCTCAACTCGGACTTGGCTAGTTCCCACTTGAGCAATGTGTGGCTTTGCTGGTTAACAGTTCACTTAACATCATCATAGTTTCTCCTCCTGGTTGTTTCTGCAAAATCATGTAGGTAATTTTAAGAGGCATACTATATAGACAAATTACTGTAGACCTATGAAAGAGAATCTTGCAGCAGGTTTTTATCTGCCCTTTTCAATATACCTTAGTGATGCCTTCAAATTTTTAATGTAACTTATTTTGTCATTTGACCCTCATTTTGATTCTCACATCACTTGTACTATGATAAGAAATTACACAGGGGTATACATGTGCACACATAAGGATTCACACAAGAAGAAAAACATTTCATATGTTTATATATTACTGTGTTGAGGCCAAAGATCTGATTACTGACCAGTTAACATGAAAATATTTCAGGTTTAAAATATCTTTTTATAATAATACCTGTGGCTTCTCAAATGTTTCTTCTCTTAAGCTCAAAACCCCACAGCTGTTAACAGATTTATTTTATGCACTGGCATTAACAAATTTTAATAGAAAAACTGAAACACGTACCTCGTATCACAGTGGTAAAAATTTATACATCTTATAAAGGAATTTTATTTCCTTATGTAGAGCAGAATTTTACGCATTGCTTTTAATCAATAAAATTGGTGCAGTTCTTATTTTAAATGGGTCTCTTTTTTTTTTTTTTTTTTAATAGCTGCCTTTTACATAGAATCCAAAAAATCAAAAGGGTCTCCAATTAAGAAAACATTTTCTGTTGTGCTGAATTCATGTTACCGTACTGTGAGCTCTGACATTTTGTTTCTGTGGTAACCAAAATCAGCTGATTAGTTGGCATGGCAACAGAAAAGATGTAATCCCAGCAGACACACTCTAATCAATGCCCCCAGCACAGATGGTCTCCGGAGGATCAACAAGAAAGAGGCTGGCAGGCATTCAGATATCACGTGGTTGCTCTAGACTAGGCCAGGAAGAAACTAAAAAAGAACATTTCTCAAACTAACCAATAGCTTTTTAACCCCTTCACTGCACTTATTAATTGTAGGAATTTCAATTGCTCAATCTACGAAAACCAGCTTTGGTCCTGTGCCTTATTGCTCAGTCTCACTCTCCTAATGCTGGGTATCTTTTAAAACTCTTCTCCTTTTATTAATGATCATTTCTCAAACCTGGCACTGTGCTTGAAAAGAAACCTAAAGCTTATACAAATCTGGGAAATTCCTGAGATTGTTGGTAAAGATTAAAATCTCTGAGTTTCAAGGGCTCCACCTATAAAATCCAGCTGATGGTGCCACTGTTGGCCGCAGGAAGAGAAGGGTTGGTTAGAATATGGGGTGCTCACTGATCTAGTGGCGAAGGCAAAGCTCACCTCTGCCAGTCTATTGGAAATATAAATAAACAATCACTAACTGCTGAAAAACAGTTTGCCTACACATAAAGTTGGAGTGTTGGTAAACAGAGACTTAGGAGGACTCCTAAAGCATTCGTTTACCTGGAGAAAAAAATGAAGCGTCTGCCAGGTAAACAAACACGGTAAGTAGGGCTTCAGTCTCTTCTTTTACCACATTTAATTCATACCCTTGAACTGTATTAAATTCTTTACAGTATTTATTTATACCTTGATATTTTTAAGTGTGTAACACTTTACGAGAACCTCTTGCCCTCTAAAGACCAGCTGGACTATTCATATTCTTACCGCTAGGCATGTTCTAGACATATTTGTTTGAAAAAAATTGGAAATGCCATTTTATATATTCATCCAATACTGCAGTATGCCGTGAGTTGCTCTAACTAGGAAAATGTAAAATGCAGCTGTGGATTCCTGATTCAATACATGATGAGAAATGTTTCAGCCCATTATATTAGAATTTAGTGAATCTGTAGCTTAAAAGTTGTTTGTCAAACTGAAACAGCTATTAACAAATATAGATAGTTTGAATTTTTGCATTAAAATAACCCTTTGTAGTGGTTTTAGTGGGTCAAATTCAGACATGATCTAAGGAGCTACGCAATCCATTGGAGTACTGCTTGTTACAGGAGTTCTGCTTTGTTCCACCACTGATGCTGTAAGACTGAGGAGTTTATCTTTGAGTAAAAGATCTGTGCCCTTGGTATCTCTACTAGAAGTTACACATGCACAGCTGAGACAACATTCTGCTCTAACTTATTTCTGAGAGACTAATATATTCTTTTCACCTTTATTCCACCAACTGCTGTGTTTTATTTCAAATTTCCTCTTACTAACACAGTCCTATTTTAAGCACACAGCCATTAACCCCCCCTATTTTTTCTCCTAGAATCCAAATCACATCCCCATCTGAACTTTTCTACCGGGATACAGAGGTTTATATTGGAATCTGCAACAGAAACATCAGGACTGAAGCAGGCTGTGCACTGCCAGGGCTGCAGCAGATGGAAAGACTCACTGCACACAACATCGATGGTGCTATGGGATGCAATCACAGCTCCTTTCACGCGAGGTGTGCACCCAGCCCCGTCCCTGCTGCTAGTCTATCTTTGACTTGCTGGATACCAGTCTCTTTTCCAAAGTAACAACACTCTAATGTGCTGCCGCGATAAGTAAAATAAATTAATTGAATTGAGAAAAGTGTGTTGTATTTGCTGATTAAAACCCCCACCCTTCTTTTCTCTATTGCATTAAAGCTAACACAAAGGGAAATGACACAGAAATCATTTTAGGAAGCTGTGCAAAGAAGCAGCTACTGTATACCCTCATCACGTCCTCTGCACATGGCCAGCATGCACCACTCCTTGTGAGCGGTGAGGTAGCAAAGAGGTGCTACCCAGGAATATCTGGTTGCTTTGCATCTCTCTCTCTCTCTTTTTGTGTCCGTGTAAGTCCCTGGAGGCTGGAATGGGAGAGCTGGAATGATGACATCATTAAACACACATCTCCCAGCTCATCAGTGCCCCACACACCAGCAGCTTCCTCTCCCTCTTCTTTGAGCCCCACTCAAAGAGCCAGGAAGATGGCAGAGAAGACACTACGAAGGGATGGGACTCACATATGTGCTAAAACAGTATAAGCCGTGTGGGCCTTGGTCATTATGCTGTCAATCAATAGCTGGTGCCTTTTTTGACTTTGAAACCTCCGCAGTCCTGCAGGTCAAGGGCAACATGGATGGGTTATGTCCTCCTGCTTCCCCTTCTCCTTGTGTGCTTTTCTCCATGCAAAGGTTAAAATTCATACACATGAACAGGTACGAGATGGAAATTCATCATTTCCTGTTAATTTATGAAAGGGGACATTTCCATTTTGAAAATAAGTTTACTGATTCTTTTAATATAAGATTTTTTTATTTATTTGTATTTTCCACCTTTTTGATACTGTTTTTTATAAATGTATGGCACTCTGTTTAATTACAGGACTAGAAGTGGCCAATGCATGAAGCTAATTCACTATCAATTACAATATTGAACATTCACTAACTGCCTGATCCAGACCATGTTTAAATCAATTGACTCCTTCAATTGACTTCACTGCCCTTTGGACTGGCATCCTAATGTATTAAATCCCTATTTTCCTAGAGATGTATAATCCTTGGACTGGGTAAGTATCAAATGTAATGCATATCATCCCAAATGGTAGGTACTAGCAATGTGAAATCTCATTGTTGCTTTAAAATCAAGCCCAGAAAAAAGAAGATGGGCAGGTTGAATTTAATTCATGTACAACTGATGGTTCTGGCAACCTGGCATTATGTACTTTTGCAATCTTTCTAGGAGAATTGCAGAGGATGCCCACAGAATTTTCCAGTCACGTAATGAATATAGAAAATAGTAATTAAATGGCTTCAAGGGTTTTCAGTACTAGAAATAATCTCAGTCTACCAGAAAAATGCAACAGCCAGTATTTTTCACCCTTATACACACCGAAAAAGAAAAACAGAAACCAACAACATGCTTTATTGAGTCTTCCCTGTTACCTTGGTAAACATGGGTTTTCCATGCTGAGTGACCATGGTGCATTGATCACAGTCCACTGTGATGGATGAGTTGTGGTATGACTCTTTTGAGTGCTTGAGAATGTAATACAGGTCTGTTACACCTCCTTCAAAGACAGTGCTAAAATAACGAGGAATGAGGGTCCTTCCAATTGCTGTGAGGAAAATACAAAGCAGAATTCAGCAAATGCTCTACGTTATAAAATCTCAAACCATTTGCTAACAGAACATGAATAATTTTAAGAGCAATGAAATCAAATTTTCATTTAACGAATATAATACATGTTCTCTGTCTGCTGCAGAAACAGTTGCGCCTGCTCCCATTGAAATCAATGAAAACGGCTTACTCCATTCAGAGGGAGTGGGCTCATCTTATTTAATCTTTTCACATTGATGGCGAGTTAGAGGCACTCTTTAAACCATCTGCAAGGTTTTTTGTCCCAGAGTAATTATTATACAGAAAGCCACATGGTGTCAATTATGACTGAAAGTTGGATATTACTCATAAATGTATAAATACAAGTGGCGAGCATTTACAGAAATATACTCGTACACCGAAAAAGGCAAAGCACATTTATATAGGGAGGTTGTGTACACGTATATGTTTATCTTTGTGTGGGAACATGTATATTTATATACACGCACCCACACGTACACGCCCACACATGCACACACACTCTTGATTGAATAGGAGGGCTACCGCTGAGAAATCAGAGTCCTGGGGATTGAAGGACGATCTGAGAAGGCAGTACGATATATGTTGCACAATATATGACTGCCCACAGGTGTACCTGAGATTTCTCTTTAGACCAGAAGTATTTATGTCATAGGCTAGAAAGCTTGAGCAGATGCCTGAACTAGCTTATATGCACCACTTACCCCAAACTATGGACTCGAGGTACCCAATTCTGCAATATTTACTTGGGTAAAACTTTCACTGAAGTCACACCTCTCACTTAATAGTTTCAGGTAAGTACTACAAGGTCCAATTCCAAATACATAATAGTAATAGTGAGCTTCTGAGTGTACTTCAGATGCGCAAACTAGCAGAAGCACTGACATCAAAGGCAATTATCTCATGTGCAAATGATGTTTTCCATCTCCTTTTTTACAGATAAATTTGGATGCAACCACAAGCCTGGTATGACAGAACACTTCAGTTTATATTAGACTGATACTTCCACACCAAATGACTCATCGCTTTGCATGCATTAATCAATCTACAGTAATTCTGAGTGGCGGATACAGAAAAATTGCCTCCATTTTACAGAGGGAAAAACCAAGCCATCTAAACTGTGTTTTGGAAGAATGAGATAGAAAACTCACCATCGACAAGCAAGATTAGGGTTTATTTGTTCCTAATTCTTGTTTGTCTATTAGGACTATGTGGTGACTCATGCCTCCCTCATTTGCTTTATACTTTTGAGAGTAATTTCTAAAAAAACTATTTTCATAGGAATTTTGCCAGCATACGAACAAAGGCTCCTGACCCTAAAAATGTATTTGCAAGTGGGTGTTGTAAATTAAAATGTATGGCGCTTTCACAGTAGTTCTGTGAAAACTGTTTCTGCTCTGTGCATTACAATGTGGAATACTGCATATGCAGTCATAACACACCTTATATAATGAAAATATACAAATATAGAAAATTTGGACTTGTTAAAGCTTTTACTGTAATATTAGATATTAACGTAATTTAATGTACAAAAATCTACCACACTCTCTGGAAGTGGTTGACAATTCAATGAATAGGTTGAATGACTATTATACGACTCTAGCTCCTAAAAAGCCCACCCACTCACCATGCATATATTAATTTTCTACAGTCTTTTAATTTAATTTAGAAAAACTGAAGTCCAGTGTATCAGCATAGGACTCAACTCAGGCTTTAACTCAAATTTCTCCATGTTGGTATGGTATATAGTAAAACGTGAAATTTACCCATCAAGTTAATTTCTTGCTCCCCTAAGGCTAATTAGTGCAAATTAAATTTCCTGCTAATCATCCTAAGCAGTGAACGTGTGATATGAAAATCCAGCGTTCCTACTGGTTGTGATAAACCTCTATTCATGTGACTTATACACTGCATAAATATCTTGAAACTATTCTAACTGCAGTTTATAGACTGTTCCCAAAGTAGTATGTTCATATGGTGTTGCTTTTTGCCTTGTATTCACAGCTACAACACATTAAAGAAGGCTACAAAGACAGTAAATACCTTATTCTTACTACTTTTCCTAGTAAGCATTATCTGTGTCTGCCACAGGGATATGCTACCATGAACAACAAAGTGTGGGACCAAAAGGATGAAGAAGTATAGAGATGCACCCACGGATATGCCTTATGGAACCTGATTTTCAATGACAGATGCACACGTGGACCCTGTTTGTCTGTAAACTGAAAATAGCTAACGCAAATGTCCAGTATAAATGACTGTAGCTAATATTCAGCTCCAGAAAAAACATTAATGAAAAACTGTATTAATAAGTAGAGCTGTCCTCGGCTCATCATGTTGCCTTGCCACAGAAGACTGAAGCAGGTTCAAGGTTTTGGTTCTCTTCCTGAAGCACTCAATGGCTTTAAAAAAATAATTTCATTTCTATAACAAAAATGAAACTCTCTATAAAAATAACAAAGCTTATTTGTGCAGGAGATGGTATTTCCAAGAACAACGAAAGTCTAGGGATCATCACAAACTGTTCATTTTGAATGCAAAAGACTTTTCCTTTATTTTTTCTCCTCCAAAACGTAATGGTTTATATGAGTATTCAAGCACATATGTGTGCACAACCCCAGCTCTGCTGCATGCATACATACAGTCCTTTTGTGGGCACAGGAATAGGAATGTAGCAACTGTGCTTTTATTTCCCTTCTTGCAGTAGTGGCCACACTCAGGTGCACATGGACATATTCCACCTGTGTCTGTCATTGTACATCTCAACAGGATTTTAGCAACACCATATATCTTCTGCCAGAATGAGATGAAGGCCACTTCCTCAGAGGACTCTAAGTAATGTGCAGACAGGATTATGGGACAACTTGATACCTGTAGTCACTTCAGGAGGTAGTTTAGCCTTCCTTGTGCCAGTAAAGTGAACTCACACCTTACAGAGCATAGAGCAAGCTGTACGCTAGCTTGGTCTTGGGTTTGCAATTCCCCAGGGGCAGTCACAGACAACAATGGAAAGTATACTCTAAATAGCATGCACTCTTCCCTGCAACCCGATCTCCTTCCAGTCCTGCCTCTTATTCAACTGCTGCTCTTCATTTTTTCTCCAATCTCTTTGCTTACATACCCTCATGGTCCAATCCTCCATTTTCTCATCTTACGGTTGGTTGCCTTGCATCGGTTATGTTCCAAGTTCACTGTTCAACTCAGAGTATCTCCCTGTCTACTCTTCTCTCCCCCTCCTAGCACACTGCCCCTTTTTCTCTTGCTCAAGGAGGCTCATTAGCCTTCCCCAAATCCAACCAATTTCCTCATTCTCCTTCCTTAAGCAGGCCCAGCTACCTAGTCTCAGTCTCCTTCTCTTCTACTCTTCCCAATATGCCAGCTTGACACACACTTTCTTGATGCCCTTCCTACTCAGCCAGGTTGCCCCAGCTTCTTGTCCAAGGTTCCCTGCCTCAGCAGTCTAAGCCCTCCTTCTGGATGTTGATTTTGTGGCTTTTTTCTGCCAAGATTCTCTCTCTGCCCTTTTCCCCACCTTGTCTCCTCCTAACAGCAGGTTCTTTATCCAAACGAACTGCATCTCTCTTTCCTTCCTTCAGCTTCTCATCTAGCTAGGGAGGAGGCAAGAAGACCTCTTCCCTCTGGGCCTCCCACCCAGCCAAACATCTCCTCGTGTTTTTCTCACTGACTTCCAACTCTCCCTTACTTAATCATCTTCCATCTTCTCCTTTCACCTCCCAGTTACTATTTCTTTCCACTCTCTCACATCAACTTGTTCTGATTTTCTCCCTTCTTTTTTTTTTCCTCCTCTTCCCTCTTCTTTCCTCCACATTCAGGTCAAGTTGCTTCCTCCATAGGGCCATCTGGATCCTGGGCACATCCGCCAGCAGTGCAGGAGAAGGAAGGGCTTCCTGCTCTCATGTGCAGGATCGGCTGACTCTTCCCTGTGGGCTTTGCAGTGAAAATGCCAACGACTCCCCATAGCCCTGAGCTGTGCCTGTCGTTACTCTTTGCAGTTGGCATGTGGATAGCCCCATTGGACTCCTACGAGGACCCTTACTATGTTCCTGGGAAAAGGAGTCTTTGGAAATTTTAGCTGTCAAACTCTACTAAAGCCTGCATGGAGTACTTGAGAATGGGCACTTTTTTCTCCCCAAAGATCTATAAATTTGTTAAATTCAGTCAGATTTCCACAAAGAGGACAAAAGGGAAACCCTTGCCTCAAAGGTGAGCAATCCTACCCCAAAGCATACAGACTACTGGGCATTTAAAAAACAAAGTTGCAAGACTTTTGTAACACAGACAAAACAATATTCTTCAATTTGGGGGGAAAGAAGAAATCCTTTTTGGCTTAAATAAAAAAGAACTTGCTAAAAGCAAAACCAATTTCAGATTTATTGGGTGAAGTTTGGCAAAATTAAGTATAAAGAAGGCCCTTTAATGGGACTTATCACACAATACTAATAATAAATGCTATATCATCTGCCTGAAAGAATACAATACATGACTGCAGATGCCGAGGCTCTGAGTCCAATACTCAGGCTTAGGAAAGCAGACGTAGGTTCATACCTGCATCTATACAAATACTAACAGGCTCTTACAGTCACATTACCCAGAAAAGACCTTTCTATAGTGTGAAATGTGACTCTCTGCATTGTAAGATACTGGATATACTAGAAGAAAAATTCACCTGCCCCTCAGTATTCAGGCATTAATTCCAGATCACTGGAATGCTGCTTTAAATTATCATTTTGTCCTGGGCAGCATCCCTCATCCCTAGCTGAGTATCTGAGGATGTACTATTTCCCAGGAGAAGCGGGCACTGCCCCTTAACGTTTGCTTCATTTGTGCTAGCAAATCCCCAGATAGCAACGCAAACTGACAAAGATCAGCTGCATTTATCAAGAGGTAATAGTTATTTATATGAAAATGTCTGTAAGAAAGGCACATCTTTCAGATGTGACTATTTTGCACAAAATGTAA